GCAAGAATTTTGATTACTTATAGTTTGTAGCTAAATAATCTAACATCACCTTTAAAACCTCTCTATCTTCTTCTCTGCACCTGTTCCTATGTATGCTGTTCTTATAGCACTTCCTGCCCCATGAACAACTGTATTCCATACATCTGATAAAGTGGATTATCATTTCAAATGTTTATGCAATAATAAATAAAATGAACCTCTAGGGTATCATGAAGACTTTTGTTTCCTTGTTGTTTTTTGTTTTTAGTTTTTTTTAAATTTCAACTAAAATGAGGGATGCTTGGGGGCACTGATTAATTTAAATTTGGTATATAATCTACATACAGGAAGCAGCTGTTATCTTTTAAGCAATGTCTTTTTGATACTAGGTGGCTGGTAAATAAATTTAATATGTAAATAAATAAATAAAATGGAGCTTACATAATATGTCATTGTTTTTCTGGGCAGAGTTATATCAACAACTAAAAGAAAATGTACCATACTACTTACCATATATTCCGGTGTATAGGGCGACCCGGCATATAAGACGACCCCCTAATTCAACGCCGGGTCGCAAGATGATTGACGCCGAGTCACAAGACGATCAACGCCGAGTCACATGCCTAGAAAGTCGTCTTATACGCCGGAAACTACCGGTATTTCCGGCATATAAGATGATCGACGCCGAGTTGCATGCCTAGAAAGTCATCTTATACACCGGAAACTACCTTATTTCTGGCGTATAAGACAATCGACACCGAGTCGCATGACTAGAAAGTCGTCTTATATGCCAGAAACTACCTTACTTCCGGCGTATAAGATGACTCGGCATATAAGACGACCCCCGAGTTCGGAGGCTGTTTCGACGCTCTCAAAAGTCGTCTTATACGCCGGAATATATGGTAAATGTATAGTTTGATGTTGGATAATTGTTGAGATTAAAACAAAGTTGTAGGTTTGGGTGAAATTCATATATTCACATAGTAATAGAAAAAGTAACATTCTGAATCAAAAGCAGCAACTCATGGCATAGAAAATATCAAATGAAATGTTAATTTCAAAAAAGAATTGATTTCTTAAAATAACTTCCTTTTACCCTCATTATTTAGTTCTATCAAAAATCCAACTGTACATTATAAATTAGGAGAAATAGCTACATATATTGTAGATCATACTTATTATTAGAAAATGGAATGTTACTAAGGGAATGAATTCTCTGACCAATTCAGCAGTAAAATGTTCTTCAGAACCATATTAAGTTCCGCAATCCACAAAAAGAAAGACTGAGGCATGAAAATAGACTTATAGAACGTGCCTAAGAACACAATTATTTTAATTTGTTACTTTAAAGAAATAACCTGTTGTATGGAAAAGTTGAAAAATAAAAAAAATATTTTAAATTGGATTAAGCTAGATTGTCTTGAAACTTTTGACAGGCATCATGCATCCTTCACAATCACTCTGGATTTTGAAATCATAATTTTAAAGAAAATGTAAAATGCTCTGGGAAAAAAAATAGGACAAACAATAAAAAACAGAAGGGAGTGGAGAGTTCTCAGGACAGTTGTAGATGTGTGTTTTCAGGCCACCAGACAAAAATAACAACAAACACTGTCTCATCTTTTGCCATAGAAACAACTGGTTTGGGGCAGTCATCTACAGTATGAATTTGGCTTGATATGACTGTCATTGCATCAATGAGACATTGATAAACTAAACCAGCTTTGGCTTTATAGCAAGGGTGTCAAAATGCCAGCCTGCAGGCTGGACGCGTCATGAGGAAACCGCACCTACCCCATTGCTGGCAATAGGGAAAAAACTCTGATACGTCACGCAACATCATGTGACGTTGCGAGTTTGACATGTCTGCTTTATAGGATCTGCAGATGAAAGATCCACCAGTGACTCCATGTCTTATGTTATTGCAGGAATTGGGTATGTTTAATTTAATGAAAAGAACAATTGGGGGGGGGTGATAGCAGTGTTCCAATATATAAAGGGCTGTCACAAAGACAGCCTGAAGGTAGGATAAGAAGGAATGGATGGAAGCTAATCAAGGAGAGAATCAGCTTAGAATTAAGGAGAAATTTCGTGATAGTTACATGTAGTACAATTAACCAGTGACACGACTTGCCTCCAGAAGTTGAGGGTTTTCCAACACTGGAGGTTTTCAAGAAGAGATTGGACAACCATTTGTCTGAAATGGTATAGGGTTTCCTGCTTGGGCAAAGAGTTGGACTAGAAGACCTCCAAGATACTTTTCAACTCTGTTATTCTGTTATATTTTTCTGCTGAGCAAAAGTGCAATACACTATTTTACACATGCCATAGCATGTGAACTCACATTGAGTTCTCCATTAGTCCCATCCAGACTTTTAAGGGAAACAGGAAATCTAGAAACCAGTGGGTTTAATGTCAATGGGATGCAGAAATTGCAGGTGCTGGATGGAAGTCAGATATACAGTTGCCTCTTTTGAAAGGGGTGTACATATTAGGCAAATCCTGGGAACTCTCTATCAAAGAAGAAAAAAAAAACATCCTTATAACCAAAATCTGGCTTCCTAGAGATTTTCCAGCAAGTTTTTGGCTTTTAGCTATCATCTTAAAAGCTGCCCTTCTCCTTTGCTTGGAATCACAAAGGGAAAGAATCGCAAATACACTCAGAAACAGAGATGGATGCTCTGAGGAATGAAAAGGGGAAGATTATACACCACTCTGCTTCTCATAAGTCAAGGAGATGGACAAAGGCAGAGAGTTATATAACCGAGGATAAAACCACTCTATATGGTATAACACTTAACCATAGACTGAAACTGTGAAACTGTATTAAGAGTTCAGGAGGAAAAAAAAAAAGACTAAGATAATGGAATGTTCACCTTAAAGAGAGAAATATGATTGCCAATACAATGTTAGGTTATCCTGAACTCAATGCAGCAGTACATTATCCTGAAATTTTCTATAGACACACATAAACACAAAAACAAACACACATAAATAAAAATCCCATAATGCATTCCAGTCTAGATCTCTCTCTTTGTTCTTTCAATTCAGAAGAGCTTTCTGAGATAATGATGTTACTTTAGTACAAACTCTTTTGAGTTTACTGTGATTTGAAAGAGAGAGAGAGAAAAGTGGGTGAGGCAGTGAGAGGGGAAAAAAGAAGGGGGGGGGGAAACCTTGTATGTTATTTACTCATGGGCTGCTGATGTTAGAGGGTTTCTTTAAGGGCCAGTGGGTTATTAACTTCCTGTCGCCTGCCACAATGATATGCTGTGACATATTGTCACTGCATTCTAGTGAAGCTTTAAAAATTAATTGGGAAGTAAGATGAGTGAAGCGGCTTTAATGAGATACCTTGTTGTAACTTCTAACTTTACACATTATTTACAGTGATTCCACTAATGGTTCCATCCATCAGAGAGGAAGAGAGGGAAGGAGGGGTCAGGGAGAAAAGGAAAGAGAAACAGGAAGAGAGGGAAGGGGGAGTGAATGAGAGCAAGTGAGAGACAGAGAGAGTGAGGAAGAGAAATATGAGGCAGGGGCAACCACATTGCTGTCTGAAGATGGAGATAAGATGGAGCAGCATAGTTATTTACCATTGTTCTCCTTTGAATAGTTGGAAGAGAAGAAAAGAATGCAGAACAAGAGTCATTTTTGCATTCCTTAATTTTAGCTGCCAGTTCCCACTGTATCATCTTCTACCTAGCAGTTACCCCATGCTAGTTATTGCTCTTAAAACCCAGGATAGCTGTAATCCAGTTCATCCAAAAGATTATCTTCCTCAGAAAAGGTAAAACATATTTTTGGGAGCTGGGTTTGGGTTATATGGTAGACACACTCACAAATGGCTGTCATGGGAAGATTGGTCTGTTCACAAAATGGCTACTTTGGGGGGGGGGAATGAGGCCATTCACAGAACACTTACTGGGAAATGAATGGACCATTAAAAGAAACCATTATGTGACCCAAAGGATTATTGCTACGATGACAGAGTTGGTGTAAATCACGTCCATTGGCTTAATGGCTGCCTCAGACTTTGCCTGGCATACAGGCAACTGTGCTGTGGGAACAGGGCCTGTTTTGAGAGAGGATTCAGGAGTTTAAACTTGTAAAATGGGGGACTTAATCACTTCAGATTTAAAACAACCCTTTTTTTCCTTAAGGCCCCCCCAAGCCTCAAAAATGCAAAAAAAGACCCAGGTTATAACCTCCCTCAAATGGAATCTGTGAGTCAAAAAGGATGGTAGCAGCCCCCTGCTCCACTCATATTCTAAATACTGATTGCTTTTAGCCTGCTGTATTCCTCTTTACAGGTAATCCTAGAATTACGAATGTAATGGAGCCTGTCAATTACATTTGTAACCCAAGGACTCATAGGAGTGAATCACATGACCATGATCACTCCCTGCTTTCACCCACGCATTTGCTAATCGAATACGTGGGTCATTAAGTGCGCAAGATATCTCAGGGTGGGGAAGGCCTGGGGGGGGTAATGCTTCCAACCACCCAAGGCCTCCCCTAATCCACTGAGATATCTCATGCTTCCCCCTCTCCTGTCTCCTGCCTGGCCAGATCCTTACTTTACGTAGATCTCAATGATTAAGGGAGCTGTCTTCTCTACAGCCTCTCTGCCATGGTTTTGCTGAGGTCTGCAAGGATGAGAGATTGTGTCCCTATAGCCTTTGGTCATCTTTGCAAAAAGCCTTGGCTGCCAAGAATGGAGACCGGGAGGGGAGTGTGCATCTGAGCCTCCCTTTAGTGCATCAAAAGTCTTTTCTCAAGGTCTTTGCTGCCGTAAATGGAGGTCCAGAGGGACGTACACACCCGTCCAAGCTTCCTTTCTTAGCAGCAAAGTCTTTTTGCAAAGATGGTAAAAGTCTTTGCAAATGGAGGGAAGGCCTCGATGCTTCAGGTCTTCCCTCCATTTGCAAAATCTTTTGCTACAGATCTTGACAAGGCCTCCGTTTGCAGAGAACAGAGGCCTAAAGTACCATGAGATCACACAAGATCAGTAGCGTGAGATGTTGGCCTCTATTCTCTGCGAAAACACCAAAGGCTTGAAGCACCGAAGCAGGCCAAGAAACCAAAGACTTGCTAGATCTTTGCGAGGTGAGTATTCACAGGCCCACAGGAGGGGGGAATAGGCAGAGCAAATATTGCAGTAAGGGTGAACAACTGCCATGGTGCTGCAACATTTATAACTTTGGGACTGTGTCATAAGTACTTGGGGGGGTTGGTTATGTCATAACTTTGAACAGTCACAAAGTGAACTATTATAACTCAAGGATTACCTGTATTAAAGTTTGAAATGAGGTGGGAGAGGATTCCAAGGGAAGATTCTTGGGTACCTGAGGCTCTTCTACATGATTCATGCTGCTAACTGAGATTTCCTGAGAAGATTTATCCATGGTTTCTACAGGCTGCTATTCTGATTTCCCTATCAGTTCTATCATTGCAGGAATCCAGATTAAGGCATCTTTGATAGAGGGCTGTCAAGTTTCTGCTTAAACACAGCTAATTCAGAGGAATCTAACCTCTCTCTAGGGAACTGGTTTCACTGTTTTGCTTCCTCTTAGAAAGCATTTTTTTTTTTAAATTGGACTGTAATCTGCCTTCCAGTAACCTAAATCCATTATTCCTTATTGGAATGAGAGTGAACAAGTCTTGATTTTCTTCAATATGACAGTCTTTCTGGTATTTGAAGAATGCTATCATATTATTGTTCTGTCATATTTTCTAAGGTTAAATATAGCCATCTTTTTGATTTCTCTTCAGATACAGTTTCTAGTTTTCTGATCATCCAAATACATGCTATTTATTTGCTGGCTTGTATTCACTTTACTGTCAATTTCTAACCCACTAATTTTTTTTCCCCAAGTACCATTAACAAGGTAGGCATCCTCCATCCAATACTCATGTATTGTACTTTTGACTCCAGACTGAGTAAGTTTGCAAATAATAATAATAATAATAATAATAATAATAATAATAATAATAATAATAAGATAGCAGAATAGAAGAGAAAGAACTGGAGAAGATAACAAAATACAAAGACCTACAAATAGAAATAGAAAGACTGTGGCAAAAGCAAGCAAGGGTAGTACAAATAGTAATAGGCTCCTTAGGTGCAATCCCAAAACAACTGGACCACCACTTGAACACCATTGGCATTGACAAATTCGCTATTAGTCAATTGCAAAAGGCGGCCTTACTAGGAACTGCTTCCATCCTGCGACGATATCTGTAATACCATCAAACATCCACATCTGCCTATCCCAGGTCCTGGGTAAGGACTCGATAGGTAGACAAAATGCCAAATCCAGTCTGAACATCTGGCTGACTGTGCGATGATCCATAATAATAATAATAAAGTTGGAAGGGACCTTGGAGGTTATCAAGTCCAACCCCTGCTCAGGCAGGTAACGCTATACCATTTCGGATAAATGGCTGTCCAGTCTCTTCTTAAAAACTTCCAGTGTTGGAGCATTCACCGCTTCTGGATCCACTGGTTAATTGTTCTAACTGTCAGGAAGTTTCTCCTTAGTTCTAGGTTGCTTCTCTCCTTGATTAGTTTCTATCTGTTACTTCTTGTCCTGTCTTCAGGCGATTTGGAGAATAGCTTGACTCCCTCTTCTTTGTGGCAGCCCCTGAGATATTGGAACATTGCTATCATGCCTCCCCTCGTCCTTCTCTTCATTAAACTAGACATACCCAATTCCAGCAGCTGCTCTGCTGGAATGTCTCTGCTAAATTTCATTCTGTTATTTTCAGCCCGTTTCCCCACCCATCAAGATGTGTTTTTTGTTTGTTTTCTGGACAGTAGCATTTCTATCCAATTTTCTGTCATCTACACATTTGATCACGTCTTCATTCAAGTGATTAATAAAACTATTGGACCAGAGCTGTTCCTTGTGGCATCCCTGAAGAGGTATCTTTCTCCACTTTAATGAGAAACCATTGATAAGTACTCTTCAAGTCGGATGCCTTACCCCATTATAAAGAAAGTAGTCGAACAGAAAGTTTTGGGCACCAGGTTTTCCTTCTGAAAGGAAGGCAGGATATAATGCTAATTAAATAAATAGAAGTTGGTGATTTTGGAGTGCTTGTGCTTGTTCAAGCTTCAGTCCAAAAATGTGTAGAAAGTTTGCATGTTAGGTAAATATTTCATGATTATAAGTGTGTCTGGGAGAGATAATGTCATGTAGTTTTAGGATGTTTTTCTCACCTTAAATTAAGAGATGTATGTGTGCAGACCTGGTAAATGACCCACACAACTAGTCAGAGCTAAAGTCTAATCAGTGGGGTAGAATCAGTGGATATAATGCTTCTCAGAAGGAACTTCCCTGAAGTCTTCTGGAGCTGGAGATTATCACAGCTATTGATATAATCCTGTAACCAATGTGAAAGGGACAAAATGGCCCTTCTCTCATTGCCCGTATTTATTGTTTGTAAGACACATTTATTCATAATTAAATCATGATTTAAACTGAGTACAGTGCTATGCTTTTAAGCCTCACACTGGCTAAACCACAAGCTAATTGTAAGAGCTGAATTCACACTTCATGCTAGCTTGCAATGCATGCATAGCTTTATTAGTCTTACATTGATTATGTATCATAGCTTATTTTTAAAGTCAGTTTCTCCATGTTTTTGACTGGAACAAACTGTATAGAAGAAGAGACATTTATACTGTCTGCCTAAATTGCAAACAATTATCACCTGTCCTTTGACTCTTAATTGTGGTAGGATTAAGGTTCTACTGGTGGTAGGGAGGAAAAGGGGTCTTGTTCCACTAGGAAAGCAGAAGTCACAAGAAAAAAAACATAGCCATTGTGTAGTTTAAAATGGCCAAATTCCAAGCAGAAGCCATTGTATTATAGATGTTATATCTTAATTGAAATGCTATATTGTAAATTGTATACATATGGTTATGTTTTTGTACAGTAACCATACTATTAATTTTAAAAAATGTAGTTTAGCCATAAAGAAAAATATTACATGCTTACAAAATAATAGTTGAGTGATAAATATATATTCAGGTCCAGTAAAATGTGGCATGTGGTGTGCAGTATTCATCTTCAGGCTGATCTTATTTTAAAAACAGAACAGGAAAACAAGGAATTCAAAAAATAGGATGGGAATCTGTCCCTCTGACCTGGAGAAACCCGAAACTCCACGTCACAAATTTGTTGGATTTTTTTTCCTATAGCCTCTTGCACTCTGCTCCTATAATTCTACTTGTTAATACTGGTAGCAGTATCCCTGGTTCTATGAACAGTTTGATTTGCTTTTCTTATTGTAGAGGAACTGTAATAATCCCTAGAGGAGTTGCAGATTGTCTTTTAGTTGCCATTGCTTCACACAGGAAACTAATATTATTAACACTATTAATATTAATAATAAACACTATTTATTAGTAGTACTATTTTAAGTTTTAGGGTCCCAGTAAGTGTTTTCTTCTTATTTAAATGTTCTTTGCTTGATTTTTTTAGTCCTCTATATTTTACCAATCATAACCTTAATAAGAGTTATATATATGTTACTTTGGCATCATATTTAGTATGTAAAGAGTTTTTATTCACAAAATAGTTTTATAATGTTAATTAGCTTTTAATACTAAGTTTTCCTAGTCTTATCTGCATTTATAGCATAGAGTTCATGTTTTTAATTTCTCCTTTCTAGCATCTCATAATTTTATAGTTGCAGGTCAGAGCCTGAATATAAGCAGTGGAGATACTGTATTTATGGTGTCGGATCCAATTTTGGGAAGAAATGAAATAAATTGCTGCTTCTGTATTAATTACCCTGTTATAATAATATACAGATCATAAATAGTTTTATTCTACTGTATTTACTCAATCCTTACAATGATATGATGGTCTTCAAAGAATAAATGCTGGATATTCTACTCTTCTAATCTGCAGTCCTTGAAAATCTAGAGTAGAATAACCATAGGATGCTAAGAACCAGCCTGAAAAAAAGTCTCTTGAGTAGTAAATGGTTCTGTTGCCTGTTTCTAAGGCCCGGTGAGATAACTAACATTCAGCCTCTCCCAACTGTAAGGCAGAAACTTATGCAGTCTTGTGATAATGGGCTTCTTATCTCTACCTTGATGGCAGGCTTCAGCCTATGCCCTGGTTTCTGAAGCTCATCCATCAGAACATTTGTAACCTGCTTCTGTCTTTCAATTAGTGAAAGGCACTTACTACAATGTATGAAGAATCTGCTTACTTCCCACCAGCTTCTACCTGCATTTCATACCTGGAATGCAATTTATTTCATGAGCTATTTACTTGCTTTCTAGTGGTGGAAGACAGAAGACTGCCCCGAAACTCCATCTCTGGAGTTCTTGGAGTCAAACCAACCTGAAGGGATCCAACATGTCAAGCAGGAGCATGAGGAAGCCTATTGGGACCTTGACTTTCTCCTAAAAAATTTTTCTACCTCAGGGCAAAATGCCAGTCTTTCTCGAGTTGACCAAGAGGACCAGACCTCAGTGTCTGCTGTCTGTCAGACAGTGTCAGTTGAGGAGGAAGTCAGCAAAAAGCTCCCAGGAAGCCTCAAGGTTGCAGAAGTTCCTGGTTCCTCAAGCTCGGAAGTCCAGTTCCTGCTAAAAGAGAACTCTGTGAACTGTGCCCCGATCCCAGCCAGTTATTCCCAGGATATAATAGAGCCCAATAAGAGTCTAGTATTTTCCAACAATCAATTGCCACACTTTGCCCAGGGAGATCCTGTGGCTCTTGTTGCAGCAGGGCAACAGCCCAGGGAGCCCAGACAAAAATCTCTCGGGCAATATTATCATGTAACCTGTGAAGCCTATGTACAGCCAAGTCCTCACTTGCTAGGCAAACATGCTTCTTACAATCAGTTTCCACCAGCTGCAGTGGCTTCCCAGCTGCCACACTGCAGTCTGCTGAATGGTTACCATCCTTTCTCCCATAACCCATATCAAGCCCGAGTTCAAATGTACCAGACAGATTCTGTTCTCCATGCTTTGCCACTCCTTGGTTTCAGGAAACCACCGTCACCTACTAGAGAAGCCATAGCCAAGCCTAAGAAAGGACACAAACAATGGTCCCACAAGCGGCCTGCTAGTCATATCTGCAGTCATCCCAGTTGTGGGAAGACATACACCAAGAGCTCCCATCTCAAGGCTCACCTTCGCACACATACAGGTAAGAAAAAAAGATATAGAGGCTGTGTGTAGCTGTACGTTGGCTCTTGGGGCATTTTATCCTCTGCTCTGGGATCTTAGCAATTGCTCGTCTGTTGAGTCTTCTGCTGTGTCTGCTGAATATCTAAAGTTTGGATGTTGCACTATGTGGTTGGCCCCCTTGCCCTGTGTTGGGGTAGGAGGAAGTGGGAGATCCTGTAATTTGGGGCTGCTTATTTCCTCAAAATTCTGTATGAATGTTAACTGTGTAACTTAAAATAATGACCCTCTTTGGGTCCAATGATAGCAAAAGGACATAGTGGTACTATCTGTTTTACAGGAGAGAAGCCATATCACTGCACTTGGGAAGGATGTGGTTGGAAATTTGCCCGTTCAGATGAGCTGACTCGCCATTATCGTAAACACACAGGACAGCGTCCATTCAAGTGTCACCTCTGTCAACGTGCTTTCTCACGTTCAGATCACCTCTCTCTACATTTGAAGAGACACGTGTGACAAATAAACATTTTGGATTGCAATAGATATTCTAACTCATAAGGAAACCTCACAGTGGGATAGTGATTGTGGGGTGAGGGAGGTATCTCTGCATGTTTCCATTTCCTACAAAGAAGGCACACCTGCCTTTGTCCCTTGGGGTATTAGCCAAGAGAATGTAATGGAGACTAGTTACCTAGTTGGACTCCCAGACTGAAGGGTTTTAGCTGTGTTATTCTATCACTACTAAAAAAAACATGATACCCATATTTTGAAACCTAAATTGGGCATTCTTGTATCTTTTTCTTCTCTTCCTACTAAATAGCATTCAAGTTATTTCTAAGACCACAAAGCTATTGTCATCTAGGCTATAGAAGAACCTTTTATATTTCATTGATCTTGCATTAAGAAGAGATCACTTTTTCCATAGCCTAAAACATTCCTGTAGGTATGATTTACTTTGGTTTAATGCCAGAGATATGAGAAAGGGATCTGAGGCAGCAGTGAAGCCAACGCAATTAGTCTAATGCATTCTTAGATATATTTTCTGAATACATGAAATTGGAATAAGGGCTAGGGTCTATAGCTATCAGTATTAAAATGAAGGCATTGAAGTTTCCCTCACTGGCAGATCCTGGAAATGAGATTTATTTTGATCTTCTATTAGGATCAAATGTTGAAGGAGCTGATGGAGTAGTCCTTTTTCCTGGGCTAAAAAATAAGGGAACAAAGGAGTTCCTTTATTGTATCTGGCATAGTTTTATTGGTGAAAAATGGACACATCTGCATGTATCAAATTATTCCTTTTTTATTATGCTTTTGTATCTTTTGAACTGAACAACCATGATGTGAAGGAGAACACAACTTTCCTTTTTTAACAGTTGTGTGCTGAAGAGTGTAATTTTTTTATGCAAATTAGACTTGCTGAAAGGTCTACATCTTGCGATTATTAAAAGGCCACCATCCAATGTCAAATGGTTTGGTTCTGTTACTTTAATTGTGGGTTCACAATGCTAAGTCAAAATATGAATTGCATATTTCTGGCATAATATTATACAACCCAGTAGGTATGACTTCCATGGTCATGGCTTGGTATATTATGTATAGTTTATTCAATAAACCATGCATAATAAATGATTGCCTGTTGTATTACGTGAATCCAGCAATGTATAGTTGCTCTTCCTATTCAGCTGATACAGTATGAGAAGCAAGAGACATTTGGGAAAGGTCTCAGCTGTTATCTGAGTGCTTAGATGTAGCTCCAAGATAACTAACAATCATCCGTAAACCTGGAATTTTGAGAAGAAACAAAAATTACTGGCTGTTCTGAGCTGCCACAGGTCTTATTCTTTGTATCAAAGAAAAGCTGCAGCCTTTTTTTTTTTTTTTTTTTTTGAGGAAATAGGTTTTCCTATGATTTTGAAGAAGCTGCAGCTGAGCCAATATTTCAGCTTTTCCTCAACAACAGAATAATCACCGAAAGATTACTTTTGGGCACCTCCAAATACTGGCTGGTCTTGCCTTTCTTCCCCTCCTCAGTGGTTATGAGCATTAATATTCTCGCTCCTGGAAAGACCCAAGAAAGGATACCCCTGGTCAGTGAGATAGGAGAACAGACATTTTAGCAAGCAGTCTGCCACTTCTTTTCTCTCTGGATTTGTTTTTGCAATGGGAGAATGCAGGCTACCATGAGGGAGCTCAACCAATCTGTATCTTTCTCCTTAAAGAGAAGTCTGGTGGTGTTAACACACGTGGGCCCCGGGTTTTTGGATGGGGTGGAGATAAATTCCTAGAGTCCCTTGGCATGTCATTGGGGCTCACTTCAATATGAAATTGCTTATCCTACAGTTCTGGAAGAAATGCCACAAAGTTGTTGCTGCAGTTTCCAGATGTCTCCCCAAGATAATAGGTGAAAAAGCCTAAGAGATTTTGCCTGCCTTAGAGTGCTGGGCTAAAAGGGGAAAGTTCACTGAGGCAATAAAAATTATCTAAAATTGTGTCACTCGTGGTCTGCTGGATGTGAGACGGAGGCAATTTTCCAAGGAGCCAATGAAAAAGCTATTGCCAGGACAATCCCAGGTTCTGGGATTACAGCATGTGAGGAACTAGCCCTATGTTTGAGATGCATTTGGAAGGTAGAATGGTAATGGTTGGCAGTTGGTTGCCGAGCAACATGTTCCTATGTGATGGCAACTGGCTTAGGGAGCTACTCTTAGAAGGTCTATTTAATTGGCTTGGTGGTCACTAACTGATGTCCTGATGAATCTGTCCCTGAGTGGCAGGTATCAGTTTCACACACACACACACAAACATGTAAATTGGCCATACAAAAATATGACATATATCAAGCCAATTCTTCCAAATGTTATTTTTGTAACATGTTTTTATGTATGCACTGGATCACAGAAACAGCAATTTTGGGGTGTCATCTGATAAAGTGGTTCAATATTTATAAATGCGTGAATAGCTTGATATTTTCTTTTTCAGGGTCGCCAGTTCATGCTTGCAAATGTATTAATTTTCTTTAAGAAATTGCCCAACTAAGGAATTGTGGACATGAATATGGCACTGAGTCAAAGCAGCAAACTCAAGCAAAGAAGTCCTGGGTGTGTTTTAACAGCTTTTCTTTGCAGCCTGATTATGAAAAAGAGCTAATTGTGAAATGGGATCTGTCAGGCCATGGGAAATATGTTACAGAAAACAGACATCTTTAGCATACTGAATAGGAGGTAATGAAGGTAAAACTAGATACAATATTTACACTTGTCTCTTACAGGAATAGCAATACCATCACCAGTAGTGGAACCATTTGGGGCTTTTCATAGAGATAGAAGGGCCTAGACCCAGTTTTGTTTGATGGATACCATTCTAGACTGGGATTAGAGAGATCCAGGTTCAGGTTTGGGTTCCCATTCAGCCATGGAGTTGGCTGACCAAATAAGCCAACAGTACTTTCAACTCACTTTACTCATGACAAAATGGGAGATGTCCTATGTATACTGCCTTCAGCTCCTGGACAAATAGCAATAAAACAATCTCTTTGTTTCCACTTAGTCCCTATTTAGCCAAAGAAGCTTTTCTCCCACTACACATCATGTTAGAAATATGGGAAGGGAGACTTGATTCACATTATATAATCAGCTGTTTCCCTGAATGAGCAGACAGGATGTATTTACCAATTTATATACAGATAAACGCTTAGATAAACACAGAACCTTGAATTTTCAGCCACAGAAAAGATTGGCGATAATTTTAAATGAGTATGAGAAGGAATATTCCCATAGTGTATAAGAAAAGAAGAAACAAATCCAGCTTTAGGAAGAACTCTGGATATAAAAAGTACATACCTCTGTTGAAATGCAAGTTTTTTGAGATGTAAAAATCAAACCAAGATAAATCACTTCAGAATTTTTTCCCTCTTTTAACATATACTGTAAATTGTACAATTCAATTAAAATGGGGGGGGGGAATCTTACAATAACATGGTTGCACAAGTGTGCACACCCTCTTATAAATATGAATGTGAATCACATTCAAACTGATGTTAAATAGTAGTCAGTGCACACCTGCCATCCATTAAAGTGACTGATCAAGCCCTATACAGTTACTCAGTTGCCTCTTACAGCAAAAGTCATGATCTGCTATGTTTACAAAGCATTAAAGGGATCTCGTTGCTGGAATGCATTAGTCAGGAGAAGAGTACAAAAAATGTCCAAGACATTTAGGGGGGTGGAAATAAAAATAAAAAACTTACAATAATGCAAACTTTAAATAATACTTTATTGAAACACCTTTTGATTTTATGACAGTATCCAGTCTTTTGGAGTAGGAGCCTATCAGCCTGGCACATCTTGCCTTGGGAATCTTTGCCCCTCTTCCTTGCAAAAGTACTACAAATCTGTCTGATTGTGAGGTCATCTGTGCACAGCCCTCTTCAGGTCATCCCATAGATGTTCAATTGGATTCAGGTCTAAGCTTTAGCTGGGCCATTCCAAAACTTTGATCAGCTTCTGGTAAAGCCATGCTTTTATTGATTTGGAGGCATGCTTTCATATTGAAAGGTGAAATTCTTCATCTTCAGCATTTTAATAGAGGCCTGAAAGTTTTGTGCCAAAATTGATATTTGGCATATTCATAATTCCTTCCACCTTGACTAAAGCCCCAGTTCCAGCTGAAGAAAAGCCCCAAAGCATAATGGTGCTACCATGCTTCACTGTGAGTATGGTGTACTTTTGGTGATGCATGCTGTTGCACCAAACATACTTTTTGAGGTTATGGCCAAAAAAATTCAACCTTGCTCTCCTCAGACTATAACACATTTTCCCACATGCTTTTGTCAGACTTGATATAGATTTTACAAAATGGAGCCAGGTTTGGATGTCTTTCTTTGTAAGAAAAGATTTCCATCTTGTCACCCTACCTACCCTATAGCCCAGACATATGAAGAATATGGGAGACTGTTGTCCTGTATAGTACATAACTACTACTTGCCAGACATTCCTACAGCTCCTTTAATATTGCTGGAGGCCTCTTGGCAGCAATTCTTATTTTCTTCTTGTTTTTTCATCAATTTTGGAGGAACATCTAGTTCTTGCTTTTCACACTTATCAGTTGGACAGGAAGTATCACTTCTGCAACCTCTCTGATTTACCAGAATGCCTCAAATTCACTCCTCATCAATTTTCTCCCCTACAAACTCAGGAACTTTGAAGATGAGAATGCTTGGCTACAGGAATGGATCCATGAAGAACTTGCTCACGGTGAAGTCTGGCAGAAGGAATATGAAGCACTGTTAAGACATCAGTCCCAGCTTTGTGCCTTGCTGCAGACTAAGAGGTGAGAGGCTGTCATGGGGATTCTTCCCAATTTTTCCTGACAGTTGCTGATCCCTCAAAAAGCTGGAGAGAAAATGGGGTCCCATGAAAATTATTTATTCAGAATTCAGCCTCCCATTTTTCTATTTGGTCAAAAACCAGAAATACATTGAAATTTGTTCAATGTAGAGAAAAGTAAGGTTTTACACTTAGGAAAGAAAAATCAATTGTACAGGTATAGGTACAGGTACAACTGTGAGAAGGATCTTGGAACCCTAGTAGACAATCACTTAAATATGAGCTAGCAGTGTGTGGCAACAGTCAAAAAAGCCAACACAATTCTAGGTTGTATTAACAGGGATAGAATCAAGATCATGTGAAATATTAGTTCTGCTTTATAAAATCTTAGTAAGACCACACTTAGAATACTGCATCCAGTTTTGCTCACCACATTATAAAAAAGATGTAAAGATTCTGGAAAGAGTATAGAAAAGAGGGACAAAGATGATTAGGGGATGGAGGTTAAAACATTTGAAGAATGGTTGTAGGAACTGGATTTGTCTAGTCTAGTGAAAAGAAAAACTAGGGGTGACATGATAGCAGTGTTCCAATACTTGAGGGGCTGCCACAAAGAAGAGAGGTTCAATCCATTTTCCAAAGCACCAGAAGGCAAGACAAAAAGCAATGGATGGAAACTAATCAAGGAGAGAAGCCATCTAGAACTAAGGAGAAATTTCCTAACAGAACAATTGCCTTCAGAAGTTGTAGGTGCTCCATCACTTGAAGCTTTCAAAAAGAGACTGGACAGCCACTTATCTGGAATAGTATAGGGTTTCATGCTTGGGCAGGGGGTTGGACTAGATTAGAAGTTCTCCAAGGTCCCTTCCAACTCTGTTATTCTGTTATGGCTAAATTTAAAGCCATTTTTGTAGAGGTTTTTCTTCATGGTGATTTAACCAAAGAATACTGCAAGGATTTGCAAAGGTTAGCTGATAGGAAGTAGGAAGGCTCAGCTCAGTGTGCTGGCAAGTGTAGGGTGCTTCTGGGATTAAATTTTGGCATAGGAGATGGTGAGGATACCTTCCCTTTTCTCCTTTGCAGTTTTAAGTCCCTGGAGAAGAAAACTCGAGCATTGCAAGAGGAGCTGGAAGAAATCCAGGA